GTAGACGGAAATCCGTGAGGTAGGGTGAGGTGTGACATTTCTAGGGTCGACCTTTCCTAACCCTTCCTTCCTTGTGAGAAGGCAGCATCGCTGCAGATGCTGCTTGTTGTCCGAGGGCAACACCTTACTGCTGTCACACTCCTCCATCACCGTCAGCTCACAGTATACAATGGTTGAAGGATTTTCAAAAATAACCTTATGATGTTCAAACTACTTTTTTTATTGATTTCCTAAACGTCATCATCAATCAGTAATTTAATGAAACGAGTTTCAATCTTCTGGAGTGTACTTGCATACATATAAGTACCATTTCTAGTTAGTTCTAGACTTGGTTCAGATGACTAACTGACTGACTAGCTAACTGAACAAATAGTGCAGAATTTTTATTGACATTTTGAAATGATCACATCATTGAATTCATGGCGACAAAGTTTAGTTATGGATAGTGATTAGCACTGGAGTGCAAGGCGGGCGTTCCCTCCTATATGCGTCTCATCAGCTGGATGCATCTGTATCTCAGAGTTGATGCTCAGTCCGGAATTCGAATATAGTACAGTTAGCTTCAATAAACCACAGTTATATCCAGGCTGACGAGTACTAAATAGGATGAAGTGCGTATCCTTTAATTCACTGGCAGACTCCCGACCATAGCTGCTACCTTGACTTGGTGGTCGGGCTTGCCTATCGTGATGACCCAACCGAGCTATATTGGCTGGAACTTATGTTCCTGAAGGTTCTACCATGCCAGTCGGGTCGATTGAATAAGGATGAGACTAAAGACAGCTATCCAAACCTGAGGGCGAAGTCTTACTGCTGACTGTAGAGGGGTGTGATAGCAGTACGGTGTTTCCCTCGGACAACCAGCATCTGCAGCGATGCTGCCTTCTCACAAGGAAGGAAACGTTAGAAAACGTCGACCCTAAAAATGTCACACCTCAACCTACCTCACGTATTTCCGTCTCCGTCGGTAAGAGTGCCCACTAAGGGCTTTTAAGAGCGGAGGTAATACTCAAAAAACCTTTCATAAAAGGGCCGTGCGTGACCGGCCTGAAGCAGTTGTCCCTTGGACCCTATGGTCGCGCTCCCTGGTCTCTAAGACCAAAACTAATCTGTATTCCTTTTCAGGTCCCTCAAGAAACAACCTTCCACGGTGTGGACAGCCGGGAAGCGATATCCGCCCTCATACCCGTAACAGCACACTGGCAGACAACATCCATTTCTTTTTATATTACTTGTGATCTAATGGTTATATTTGAAGCAATTAATTCACACATATACCAAATGAGACTGATCGATTGCATTCAAACTACTACTACTACTGTGGTGCGCGCTACTTATAAGTAGTATATGACGCGAGTGTAAACGTAATGTCTGGCAGCAGAAGATGGGGGAAGATCAAGAAAGGAAGAGTGGGGGGAACACAATGGAATTTGTATGAAACGCATGAATAAGTGAAATGTCAGACAATGGATTGAAGATTTGCAAATCAACCGTTTACGATATGGTTTTCCTATTTTACTGAGTAACTCTGTTTTTTTTCGTTAAATACAATTCGGTTGCCCTCACCTGTGTTCGTCTTCACTACACTACCACTACTACTACTACTACTACTGATAAGAACAAGAAGATTTTGAAAATGACACTAACTATGTATGTTAGTTAACATTCAAACGTTATTTCCTTGTATACAGAAACAGGAAGAGACCAACTAGTGAGTGAACTAGCAATCATAATAAAATCAACCCATTACGTAATCAATTTCATATAAATGTAGAAAAAAAAACATGTAACTGAATGACTATCAATCGATGACCAAAAAAACAATATCAGATTACGTAATAGACTAAAAAGTTATCTCTCTCTCTCTCTCTCTATCACATTTTTTTACCTCCCTGGTCTGGAATGATAAATGAAAACGATTCAGTTTATTATAGTTTAACGTTTATCAATCAGCTAGAAAATCACAGGAACAGAGAGAGAATATGTCAAACCATTGCACATGTGTGATTATCCCTTCAATACAATTGTCTTAACAAACATCACAATCATGTTCAGCACTCCCTCAAGTTGTCAAGACCAAAACTAATTCAAAATAAAATCATTTTTTTAATGTTACAGGTAGATAGTTTGAAAATGACAAATCGCTTCACATCTACCATCTTTATCAGTAAGTCAAGTTGCCTTACCACATCATATAACACACACAGAGACGCAATTGTCAATTCAAATACCATAGTGGCAGAGATAGTAGAAGCATCAGCAGTAATGCAGAAGATTAGGGTTCGAAGAAATTATTCAAGGAATGATCCTTCAAACCTAATCTATCTTCTCCATAACCATTAATACTTCCACTATCTGTACCACAATGGGATTTGAACTAATAGTTGCATCACTTAGCTAATGTGATAAGGCAACCTGAACTGATGTATGTATATACGAAGTTCTACGTTGTAGCTGACTAACTTCGTCTTAGAATTTTAAATTTTTAGCACTTTCAGTGTGACTTGAAGGTCTTAGGTTGAATTCCAGTTAGAGTTGTATAGTAGGACGCAATAGTTGCACAATGCTTGCTATCAAGATAAACAAATCCTTTACTACAATAATACCCTGCGTTTCAATGCTTCTTTAATTAGTGTCTTTAAAGTTGGAGATCAATGTTCGATCATGATTAGAAACCAGATAACACTGAACGTTCATTTCGTCTCAAGATGAGACTCATCATCAGTAGCATTGCGCATCAACAACCTCAGCTCGTGGGAATCGAATTCAGATTTCACACAATATATAAATCAAATCCTAATTAATCCGCCTTCATCTGATTTATTGAAGATATTTAAATTAGCTGACGCATTACTTATGAGTAGACAAGTGAACAATTAAAAAATAATAATCGCCATCATCATTGAAATGGGATTAGGAAAATGTCGAGACAGACAGACAGACAGATACAACACAGAACTTCATACGTAACTACATCAGTTCAGATTTTCATACCGCATTAGCATATAGACGCAACTGTCAGTTCATATCCAACAGAGATAGCAATAATAGAAGTATTAGCAGTAATCGAGAAGATTAGGGAGCGAAGATATGATTCGAGAAGTATAATTCAGTAAGATAAACCTAGAAAGAGAAGGATAGAAATGATGAGGCATTCGGAAGGTTAGAATTTCAGAGAACACAAACAGTGGATGCATTTGCGCCATCTACAATCGAGATTTCTTTATCCATGCTGAGATTTCGTCAGTCACCAAGCTATCAGCACCAATGAGACTCCCGAGATAATAATAAGTAGTAAGTTATATTATAGTTGAAGAAATCCAATTTTCTAATTTGAATTACAATAAAGGAGAACTGATATATATATATATATATATATATATATATATATATATATATATATATATATATATATATATATATATATATATATATATACTACTTATTTAAACAGACTTTCTAGACTTTCAACACTGGAAAATTCAAGAAAATAAATAACTTTTTAAAAACCAAAATTAAAAAAAAACTCATCGTTGATGAATTTATTGATTTGACCTAGAGCATACTTAAAAATTAATAAACGTTTTTTTCAGAGCTTTTATCTTTTGAACAAAAGAAAAACTCATTTTAAAAAAAATGGAAAAAGTAACCTGCATACTTTATCATTTTAAATTGAAGCATTAAACAATATATTATGACCTTCATGCATATCGTGTTGTGTTGACATGAATTTACTATGCATTACGGGGTTGTTGTGAAGATTGCTGTTAAGTTACACATTTTTTTGAAACAACCATGAATCAATCAATGTTAGATGAACAGCATTAGAAGAAACCTGGAAGCACTGCAGGACGGCCGTTTCGTCCTGATATGGGACTCATCAGTGGCAGTGCGCATCCACGACTCCTGCACCTCGCAGGATTCGAACCCAGGACCTTCGGTATTGTGCGCGAACGCCTAACCATCGGACCACTGAGCCGGTATCTAACGATGTTAATGTCTAACTTGATCAATTCACGGAGTTGCACAACCTCATACATAGTCTTCGGAGAAGATTCCTCACGAAGCTAGCTAGTCACTAGTGAGCACAGGTAATTTGCATTACGGGGTTGTTGTGAAGATTGTTGTTAAGTTACACATTTTGTAGAAACCATGAATCGATCATGGTTTCTAATGGTGATCTAACATTGATCGACTCATTGTTTCAAAAATGAATTTATTTGTAAATTTGAAGGTCATGTAAAAATTTTGAAAAAAAAGAAACAACACTTCATTAACGTCGTTATTTACTTATTGTCAAAACTTTCAGTCTTAATATTTAGAAGATCGCTGTACTTATTTCACAATTTGGACAGTCGTTTTGTAGTTTCATT